CCAGTTCTGTATTCAGTTTTCTGAGTCTCCAGAAACTCAACTATCTTTTGCCTTCCACAAATTTTACCATTCTGACTCCCTAACAGATTACTCTAAACTAAACTTTCTATTAATTTAGTTGTATGATACTTTTAGTCGAGAGAAACATCCTGTGATGGAGGTTACTTCTTCATTCAAACTCGATAAGCATTCCATCGTTATTCCACATCTTCATTTTTGACGCATTATTGTTTAATATTTCATGAATTTCTCCATATACAGTGAGTTCAAAACTTTACTCATACTCATGGACACTCGTTGGACTTTCAATGCTCGTTTTGCTCTTTTCGTTTCTCCAAAGTCCAATGCTGGTGGCCAATAATATTATATCTAAAGAGCCACTCGACAATTGAAAATATATCTTGGTTGTTGTTTGTTGTCAATGAAATCATTGTATTCATTAAGTTCAAATTCAAATTCAAATTTATTTATAAGGTTTTAATTTTTTGTCCCAATAAATGATTTGTCCTTTTTGATTGATTTTTGTCCCATAAATTACTTATTTCTATGATCAAACTAAAAAAATTACACCTTTTTGGAGAATGCTTTAAGTTAACACGGAATTCCGGTTCACTAACTGTTTTCTTTAAAATTTAACGAATTTATATGGCTCGAGCGCCATCTACTTTGAGATTTATGAAACGTCTAGCGAATCATGTGGACAATAACGTAATCATCATCTCATCTCTGAATATACAGGGTATACGAAAAAATCTTAAATACAAAAGTCATCTGCTTTGACACGAAGTTTTCATTTTGGAATATTTTTGCATATATAGGGCACTCAGTGTTGCTTAGATAAACACAACTTCATTTTTTTTAATGGAGCATCCTGTATATTATTACATTTTTGGATTCTGCTCATGTCTCTAGGAAAAACATATAATGTTCTATACCTATGTCTAATGGTTTTTGACATATTTATCTGAAATATGTCATTTGCAGGCCCTAAGAAAAATACCAATTTTTCATAAAAAGAAATCTTTATTTTTTAATTTGGGTTTAATACGTTTTGTGTTCAAAAAGTAAGATTAAATACTAAGTTAAGAAAACTTCCAAAAAGCTTTTTTTTAATGGAAACCCCCAAATTTCATAATTTTATTTACCATTAAAAATAAAGGTAAGTTTGTATATGCTGAAAATTAATATTCTTATATGACGATTTTGATGCGGGTTTTAAGCATTGTTGTATCTAATCTTAGCTGGCTATAACATCATTTAAAATCAATCATATTTCAAAGAAATGTATGAGGCTGGCAGTTACTATTTCAAAATTATCAATAATTTTTTTACCTAAAATTTATAAAATATGCCATACTTTTGGTTAAAAAAAACTATAATATATCAATTTTAACCAGGCAACCGTATATTAAAATAAAACCAGATGACTTTTGTATTGAAGATTTTTTCGTACACCCTGTATATTCTGAGAAAAGGTATAGTGCTACGTTATATTGGCCAACTTGAGTACGGTTTACAAACATGGAATTAATGAAATAGTGCAAAGATGATTTTAGAACTTAAATTTATTCTATGTCAATACCGTGGAACGGAAAATTTTAAATTTGTTTCTCGTTCTTAAAGCTTTGAAGTTGTAGTAAAATCCTTTTTAAACTTTTATGTTTACAGTAAAATAGACGAATAATATGAATACAAAAAAATTAAAAGCCTAGTTTTAAAATCTTTGAAATTTTAAGTAAAAAAGTAATAGAACGGAATCACCCATTTAGATTAAAAACTCATTCAAAGTGGTAGCTTTTGTCCATACTGGTTTTTTATATACCATTTGCAACTTGAACTGATTCACGATTAATTACCTAATAAAAATGTTATACTTCCTACTTTTTCAACTTTCATTTGGAGTTTTAGATATAGAATATGTTCTATTCGGGATAATCAGGGAGTAGAAAAGAAACAAAGATAAACATTCGCCATTTTACTGTCTAATCGCAGTCCATAATATTATGTATAAAAAACACTGTTTATTTACTTGTTCTTGGCAAACTGCCCGAAACTGTGTTGGCGGACACCCTAATTGATTAATTTTATATTAATCCGGGGAAAATCCAATCCGATATTCCAATATTACTGCGAATTCGGCGACTTAACTTTTCTCATCAGTCCTCGGGCCTATATATCAAAAGCTGTCTTTAAATGGAAACCCTCTCCGCCCCTGGGGACATATTTGAGTCTCTTTAATCCGATTTGGACGGTTATGCGTCAGGAAAGCGCTTTCAATGGCTGACATTAAATTGCTTTTATTTGTGTATGTTTCGTACTCATGTTCAAACTTCTACGAAAAAATCATTTGAATAACAAAGAACAATATTGAATTTGCCATCATAAACTAAAAGTTTGTGATAAAAAACTGTCAGTAATTTAGTTATATTTGGGCACAATGCCTATAAAAAGAAGTTCCAGTGAAAAGTGTATTTTGTATTTTGATAAGTAAGCAGATTATTAAAAATTGGGTGTCGAAACGATGAAGGAAGCTTCAAAAATCGATGATCATGATCGAAGAAAAACCAGAACTTTTGAGAAAAGAAAAGAAACTTCAATAGGTTAGCCGGTTGCATTGGAGCTAATTTCTTAATAATATGAAGGGAAAAGCAAAGATCAATAAAACTTTTAAGACATGGACATTTCACAAATGGTAAGCGGGATTCGTAACACCAAAGATCTTATTGCTAAGATAATTGCAAAGTTAAAGCTTAAAGAGAAAATGTAGATTCTTCCAGCATTTAAGATCACTAAGAAGGAAAATTTACATTAAGAAGTTTTCAATAAAGAGGGAGAAGAGAAATTAAAAACCTTTGGGTAGAAAAATGAAGATTTTGGTGCTATGTGGTTAAACGATCTGATTTAATAATCATCAACGTAGTTAGTAATTGGTTTAATTACTCTCCTTTCTTTTTCCCTTAATATGACTCCATATTTAGGCATATTATAAAGTCTTTATTTCCTACATACTTGAATTGAAGATCAGAAAACTGGCTCTAGGATTAACGGATATAACATTTACTAAGTCAATCTCAGTATCGCAAGTGCAGTTTAGTGACACTAACTTGAGCACCAGTAGTTCTTGTCAGGGGAGACGTTAGCTTTGGTTTTTTTTTCATTAACTATCTCGTTATTGTGCCTTTAAAATAGATGACACATAACAAAAGAAAATCACACTCCCACGCAAAATGAACTGGTCTGAAATTACTGCTGTTCTCAAAAAATATTTTAGACTATTTTAACCAGGCCGATATATTCAAGTGCTAACTTCATTACACACAACCACTAACCTGTCTGATGTGTTCAACAATTTATTGTCAAATACGGCAGCACAACTTTCTTCTAATTAACCTAAAAATGCTTTGTACAAAAGTATCGTAATGTGACCAACACGATACGGTTTTTCAATCACTATTTAGGAGAAACATTTCAGATCCGAGATAGCTAGCTTAAAGTAATAATGGAATTAATGATATGTAATAAATTGTTAGCAGTTTATTTGATTGTTCATTTAATACAAAAATGGCTCTCCAGCCCTGTTTACAAAAAATAAGGTTAAATAATACTCTAAGAATTAACCTCCATATTTTACAAATTTATTAAATGACATACCAGAAAGTTCTAATCTCTGTCACTATTTTGCAGGAGTAACAATGTTAATAGATCCTATAAATAGAGGACTAGAAATGTTCTTAGTAGAAATCGTTCGTTAAACTAAAATATCTAGAATAAAGAAAGATTTATTCATTTTTTATAAAACTTCTGGATTCCTCCTGCGTCGGTTTTTGCTGAGTCGAAATTGCTGACGTTTCTCCAATCATCCTGTTCGCTTCTTCAGAGCTTGACTGAAACTGGCTCGTATTTTACTCTGTACCTGCTTATATATTGTTTGAGGGGGGCGCGAGAGGTATAAACACAGTTTCGGATGACTGATTCCCAAATTGGTGACAGGTAGAGACCTGAGTCGCGGTTAAGATTGTTAGGTTGTTTTTAGATTTCTATAGACTCTCGTATTTTTCTTTGGTAGAAGAACTGATTAAATCCATGAACTTTAGTTTTATCGAATAAAATTTTATGCCCAGTTTCATGAGTGTGTTCGGCAACAGCTGATGAGTTTATTTGTCTTAGTCGTAAGGCTCTTTCGTGTTCTTTGACCCCAGTTGATATTTTTCGTCCGGTCTCTCCAATTTATTCTTTGCCGCATATGTATGGAATGCTGTAAACTCCTGGCAACTCTTTGACGGATCGCAGATGTTGAGAGATTTTTGGATAAGTGGTAAATCTGGTTTTGACGTTATACTTCTCTAGATAGAACTTTTTATATGCGGTCAGTGATGTTTTGAATGTAAGGAAGGACCACAGTGGCAAGTGTAGGATTGCTTTCGGCTTCATTGCTATTGGAAGGTTGTGGTGAAGTGTATTTTTTGATGGAACGCTTAATATCTTCAATGTGTAAATTATTAGAGAGTAGAGCAGAGGTAAGGTGTTTTAATTCTGTTTTCAGTGACTCGAGCTGAGATAATTTTACGGCTTTCTAAACAAAAGAGTTGATAACCGATGATTTTTGGGGCGGATGGTAATGTGACCGTGCATTAAGGTATCAGTCTGTGTGCGTAGGTTTTTTGTAAAGACATTGACCCAATGTTAGGTCTGATTTTCTATTGATAAGAATATCTAAGAATGGCAGGTTATTATTAGCTTCCAACTATATTGTCACACAATACAATAAGGCCCACTTAGCTGAATGATATAATAAGAAAAATTGTAGTGTCAGTTATTTTAATTTAGTAAATAATCACACACATAAAAGGGACCTATATGCATCTGAACAAACGGGTGTATCCTGTACTATGCTAACGCTATACTAATATAATGCTATACTAATATACTAATGCCTATTAATGCAATGAAATTTTGCATACGCTACAATGACCTAAACAAACGGTTTTTCTTTCTTTCAGGGCGACCAACTGTGACTCCAACGAACAAAAGCATTACCGCAGTTTACGGTCAACCGCTGACGTTAACCATGGACTTTTGTGCCAACCCCCCTTATAATAAAATCCTTTGGATAGCGAAGAACCGAAAGGTTTATAGACCGGGGGATGCGGATAAGAGTGTCATAGCGTACGGGATAACAGTAAGTCAATAAAAGCGTCGAACAATAATCCCGTCAAGCAATTTTCCTTCCCATTTATGAAATCGCTAACGTGGCATCCTCAAACAGATGTTTCTACGTGGTTTACTTTAATGATGAAAAAGAAACACCGCGTGAACACAAAATTCATAACTAAAAAAAACTGCATGGAATTGGGAATCAAAAACCATACGCCGTCATTCTCTAGTCTGTTTCAGAAACGTGTAGAGTAATGAACTGATTAGGTATAGAGAATGACCACACAGTGACCTAACGAATAATTGAGTTAGTTTCATTGTCCAAATTCTTTCTTTTTATCGAGTGTAGTACCATGTAGATTACTTCCATTCCCCAAAACTGAAAATGAATGAAAATGATTTGCCATTTTATTTCAACAGACTAAAAATTAGACATTTTGTAATGATAGTAGGACCGCCACTCTATCAAACTCATGCCGAAAGAACAATTGGGTATTCCACCAAAGGCAGGGAGTAAACCTCAGAGGAATCCTGGTGTAGAGTATAAAGAAATTCCAATGGAATTCCAAAGAATTGTTAATAATTAAACGAATGACTCTTCCCGCTGCGGTTTCCCCTTAGCAGGGGCTTTTCGCGGCTAGGACCTATATTTACAAAATTATTTTTCACGTGAACCATTTTGAAAGCAACTTAAAACGCGATTTTTTTGGCAGAAGCAAATATTAACAAACACAGATTTCGTTACGAGTTGTATGGAATATTTTGTCCGTACTGTACTATAGCCCGATAGATCTATGGTCATACTATAATCCTTATTTTTTGTTAAATATTATTCAGAAATTGGACTTTTCTGATTATTCCGAAGTACAGAAAAGCTATGTTTGAAAGATCGTTTAGTTAGAATGCAGTAAAATATTTCAACTATAACAACAACAAAAATTTAATGCATCGCTGTAGATCTGTTTTATAACACTAGTGTATGTTTCTTTGTTGATGTGCAGTAGTTCCATGTCACCAGTAAGATCGTACTATTATTGCTTGTTTCACTTTTTACAACTTTCTTACTTGTCTACCTTATTACTTATTTTGTCAATGCCAGTATATATTTTTTTCTTTTAAAAATTTTGTCTGTTATCTTTTTTTTTGTAATACTGTTTTGTTTCGAACTGTACTGGCTTCAATAAGAAAAATAAAAACACCTGAAAACACCTTAATAGCCTGGAAAACACTGGTTATATTTTTGTCTTACCACATTTTTGGTACTATATAACCTAAGCAATAAGCAAACAATTTAATTGCTTTCCACTTGTGCTTTTCCCAGAAAATATCGATATTTTCTAAACTGGTCCACAAACGTTTTCCAGTTATCAACTGTCAGTCCAAGTTTCATTAAAATCGTATGTAGGTATTTCTTTTTTAAAATCAAAATATCAGTTTTTTTCTGAAATACACTTTAAGTGTCTTAATCAAGGACTTACTATTATGCCTAAAGATTTCGTCTGAGGTTCAACTCGCCACTACTGCCTTTCTCTCACGCAATAATTTAAAAACGGTGCACTTTGCGTCTCCAGTCATTCGGGTAATCGTATTTTATGAAAGCATATACATTTAAACTTTTTAACTGACTGATAGTGGAGAATTATTGACACATCTTTCTGAAAGAAAGTAAAGAATTATTTTACTTTGTAAGCTGTGAACTAGATGCACTGTTGTTTTTTATGACAGAAATATGTTTTTACAGCTAATGGTTTTTGACAAAAATAGATATTATATCATTTTATTTAGGCTTTCAAGTAAAATGGCATTCCATATAAAGAAACGAATTCTTTTAGCTATATATGATATATAAAATAATAATTAAGCAACTATATACCAGGTGTCTTAGTTAGGACAACGAGGTTCGATATTGGGGAAACGGATGTTGAATTTGAAAAAAGAATTATTTAGTAAATCGGCCAAGAGAAAATGTTAGAAATTATTTTTGAGGTTCCGACATCTTGGATTTTGAAACCCGTTTCCAGCAAAAAAAAATTATATACATGATCCTCTTTTAACGTTCAATCAATCAAATCTTTTTTGTTAGATTTTTTTTACTCTATCTCTAAAGGTGACTGGTGCTCCAAAATTTTCACAAATAATTGTCCTTAACTCCAAAACGGCTCAATGGATTTTAATAAACTTTCGTTATCCTAACCTAACGCGACGCTTATAAATTTATAACTCTATCCGACCATTGTTTAAACTAAATATTAATAACGATGAAACACGACAAAATTGATTAAAAGGAAAATCAAAGATGCTTATAAATGTTCAAAGTTCAAAGTTAACCCAAAATACCACACCAGACGTTCACACTCCACCTATTTTGATAATTCACTACATGCGGCCAATAATACATATTATGCAAATTGACTCCTCCATTGCTCGAAAAATTAGCTTTCGAGCCATTCGAGATAAAAAACTGGTATCTACAGCTACATTACAATTTAGCCAATTACAATACTCTAATCTCCTATCAAAATGAGTTTCAATATGATACACTTCGGTGTACCGATGTGTTATTAATATCCAAGTCCAAACTTTTTTAAAAACTTTAATGGATTAATGTGGATATAGGCAAGAACATACGTACAAAGATTTGCTTAAACGACGAAATACCGTTCTAAGAAAACTCAAAAGTTAGATATACTTAAACATTCAAATTTGTACTAGAAAAGCAAAGTATTATACTAACATCTGGCAACAACAACAATCTGATTGATTAGAAATTAATATTTTCTTTTATGATTTTCTACTTACTACTTAAAACATCAGTAATTAATAAACTTAATTTGTCTTTCGCATTATTGATGAGTGACTTTTTTTTTAAGTGATAACACCCGATACTTGTAAACATATGAGTATATCACAACCTGCGAATAATATCTATGGTATTGTAAAAAAAAACTAATATAAACTTATATCAACAACTAACTTCAATATTTTAGATTAGGATTAAGATATTAAGTTGCGCTTTTTACGGGGTTATCGGGTTGTTTGACAATCTAACGACGTTAAAGAAGTCATATCGTTGTATTGAATATTATTTTTGTTGCCATTATGTCTGAAAACGCCACATAATGGCAGGGAAGTCAATCGCAATCTTCTCGAGCATAACATGTTTTTGAGATTTGAATTGATCTCCGCTTTAATCGTTATTCACTCTAAGTGCCACTAATATAAAAAATAATTGCCGAAAACGAGTTGTAAAATTCAAGATGCCAATTACGCCCTCTGGTGGCCATTTCAGAAGCTCAAAAATATTTTTTTTTGGGAAAATTTCTGGATACATCCGTTTCCCGAATAGCGCACCTCGTTGCTATTACTGGTACATCCGATATATTGTTATTTATTTTTTTATTAGATTATTGGTTTTTTGTTTTTCGGCTATTTACTTTTTGATATTGAAAACATTTCTGAGCAGTAAATGCATGAAACATTATTTCCATCCACTTGAAATAATGGATCAGTCTCTTCAAAGACATCAGCACCTAAATTCACTCCCTAATTTTGTCTTCCTTCTAACTTGCGTTTTTCTGACGATTCGATGTTTCGCTTGTATTATATTCATGTTCTTTAAATATGTTTAGATTTACGGTGGAAAGATAAATTAATATAAAAAAACAGGTCATAATGACATACTATTCCAATTTGCCCGAACTGAAGGTACGTCTCCTTTTATCCTTGTTAACTCTATTAATCAACAAATGCGTTTTTCTTTTAAATTGTTTTTTAGTAAATAACACGTTAGTATTTAATATACTGTTTTAATGCTTTTTTTTGTTTTCCATTAAAGTATACCTCAAAAGCTTTTAACACTCAAGTAAACATTTGTCGATATAATTCATGGAAATGGATACAGAAGACTGGCGACTATTATCGTGTAAGGTGGTAAGAGATCAAAAATGACAACAATCATTTATTTATTATTATTAATTTATTAGTTTCGCAATAGGAATCTAAAATAATTTTAATGCACAAAATTTACCCACGCCTATGACCGACACCGACGAATTTCCCATTTTATTACTCTACACTTTCCTGAAATAGACTATACGAATGGACCACCGACGTCATTGCTTCTCATTAATCGTTGTCTTGTTTTAGAACGCATCTACACCAAGTTGTCACCAAGCTGTGCTCTTTCTAACGAGAGTGACAACGTCGGATGTGGGTGAATACAACTTCATAGTCCGTTCGTCAAATGGCTTGGCAGAAGGAAATTTCAACGTCAATATGACTTACGCGAGCGGCTACAATGTTCTGTCCCTAGACGAAGACGGCACTTCATCGTCATCAGGAACAAAGATCTCACTCCAGATTTTAACCGCAACGTATATAAATGTGATTCTTTCAATACTAATAAAGTGTTAATTTTTCGACTGATTTAAGTTACGGAAATTTCAGCAGTAACCTATATTTGTAGCAATTCATTACAAGTTTTATATAAATATTTTCGTAAAATCCGGTTAAGAAAGCAAGATCTGCTTCTATTATAGAAAATAAATTCTAATTTAATATTGCAAAAGGTGTATATTTGTTGTAAAGAAAAGTCTTACTTTTCGCACTAGTAAAAATAGGACTTTTCGCGCGGTAAGTGGTGCAAAAAGTATCAACTTTTTGCACGATCGTAGAAAATATTTTTTTTAATTTACAGTTTTTTTATTGTTTTCGCAAAAATGTATAAATTTGTTAATAGGCGGAGCTTGAATGTAAAAAATGTAAGGAAATTAAATATATAATAAATTATACGTCCAACAGAGGCTGAATTATTTATTTCACACAATTCAATCAGTAGAATACAAATTGGAAAAGCAGTATTAATAAAATTTTAGAGTAATTCGGGATAATTAAAGAACCGTCATTACATACAGCGTAATTTACGAGAGCCATGCACACAGAGAACACACATAAATTGTCAAATCGGCATAATGGCCACGATTTATTTATTAGCTATCATTCCATAGAAAACTCCAATTACAGAGACGGAAGAATACATATTTGTCAACCATAAGTGAAAAAAGGACATTGACAACAATTAAATAATTCTATCTTGTAAAGCAGCTTTAATAATGGTAATGATAATTTGAATTTATTAATAAAAAAACGAACAAGGTCACTATAGATTTTGTCCCAAATTTTAAATAAATAATGGCATACATATATTTTCAAGAAACAATCTACACATAACGTCTGGATTACATACAATTATTTACTTACCCCAAGGACAGTGGTCAGATGACAAATGGTGTAAATTTTTTTCACCTAAACATACAAGGATTAGCAAATAAGATTGATGACTTGTCATTGTACGCGAATAGTAATTGTTTCGACTTAATCTGTTTAATTGAACATTGGGTAGTGAACGACAACATTCTTTCGAATATTGATCTTATAGATTACAATTTGATTTGGTTCTTTTCTAGGTCTACTCGCATTCCCGGTAGAGTGTGTCCGTATGCTCGTAGTGGTCTGGACTGCGTGAAAATTGACGTATCGAGTTACTGCAGGGAGTTTGACGCAGAGTTCTGTGCTCTTCGGGTTGCTTATTGGTTGTTTGTTGCTACAGATCTTGTAATGGCAATATTGCAATATTCGTTGAGCAGCTAGAGTTATTGTTGAACAATTTTCTCTCGTTTAACACCAGAGTGGTGATTGTGGGTGACTTCAATATAAATGTGAATGTTTTATCTAACGCTGTCTCAGAATTTTTAAGTATTATAAATAGTTTTGGATTGAGGTTACCTATTTCCGATAACACTAGAATTGCGCGCTCTTCTGCTACTTGCATTGATAATATAATAACAAACTTGAATGAAGACGTTTATGAGGTGGGAGTTCTTGACCCTGGCATGTCAGACCACAGAGGCCAGTTTATTAAACTTAGCATAGGTAGGGCGGATAGAGTCAGAACTAACAAAATTAGAACTATTGCCAAATCAGGTATTGTGAATATTAGGAAGTCCTTGGAGGCTGTGGAATGGAATATTTGCCTTGGTTCTAACGATGTCAACTTAAAGTTCAAGACTTGATCAAACAAAATTGTTCTGTTAACAACATTTAAAAACAAAGATGTCTGGAAAATCGTTAACTATGAAAGAAATTGTCTTGGGAGATGTGATAAAGAATCTGATTTATCAGCAAACGATCTTAACAGTTTTTTTAGTTCTGTCTCGAGTAATATTATAAAGATCTTAACGGTGAATCACAATGTACAGAGTGCATGTGTTGAAGGGATTCCACTGGAGGAAACTACTTTTTTTTTGCATCCGATAACTTGTGAGGATACGTACCGAGCCATACTAAGATTAAAAAAATCTTATTCTAGCGATGCTTATAATATCAATAGTGTCTTGGTGAAGGGACTGGTTGAGTACATTACACTGCCATTAACCACTTTATTTAATAAATGTATTGACACAGGTGTATTTCCGTCGCTGTTTAAGATTTCGAGAGTAGTTCCAATCCATAAGGCAGGTGATATAAATGATGCTAACAACTGCAGGCCGATTTCAATGGTGCCTTTGTTCGGAAAAGTTTTTGAGATCTTACTAAAAGATCAGCTAACTTCTTATATTAATAACATCGAATGTCTTTGTGCTGGTCAGTTTGGATTTAGGGGAGGGTGTTCGACGATCCAAGCAGTGTCTAAAGTTGTGAGTGGGATAGTTAAGGGCCTCGAGGGGGGTGAATTAGTTGGTTTGACCTTCAGTGATCTCTCCAGGGCCTTCGACTGTGTTTCTCACCAGCTTCTTATTAAAAAGCTATACAGATATGGTATACGAGGTCTGCCCTTAGATCTTATAGCGTCCTACTTGCAGGGCCGACAGCAGTTTGTAGAATACCAGGATGACCGTTCATCACTTGAATCAGTAGTAAGCGGGGTGCCCCAGGGTTCCGTCCTGGGCCCGCTACTATTTACAATCCACATAAATGACCTTTATCATTTCTTGGCCCCAAATCAGTGCGTGATGTTTGCCGACGATACATCCTTCACTACATCTGCTAAGAGTATCGAGGAGTTGTCCGTTAGGGTTGGCATGTTGGAGGACAGGGCTAATGTCTGGTTCGAAAATAATTATCTTAAATTAAATTTAGACAAGACCCAAAGTATTGTGTTTTCCTCCAATTGCTTGGTAAATAGTGGACAGTCCGTCAAGTTGCTTGGCTTTAGGATCGATGATAGTCTAAATTGGAAACAACATATCTCAGACGTGAAAAATAGATTGTCCAGCAACATATTCGTTCTTCGACGACTGAGAGGCCTGATAGGAACAAGGACTCTGCTTATGGTCTATTTTTCTTTGTTGCATTCACACTTATGCTATGGCACGGTACTGTGGGGTGATTCCTCAGCTGCTGTGGAGATTTTTAGAATGCAGAAAAGGGCCATTCGAGTCGTTGCTAATATAGGATATAGCGACCATTGTCAACCTTATTTTAAAAAATTCAAAGTGATGACCCTTCCTTGCATCTATAACTACTACCAGTTATTAGAGATACAGAGAACGAAAGGAAACTTTAGCGCTAATTCCGATTGCCATGCCTATTCAACTCGTTCGGGGGATCTCCTTAGACAGCCTAGGTTTAGACTGAGAAAGTCTGAGAACAACTCATTGAACCTGAAATTGTATAATGTTTTGCCAGGTACCGTGAAAAAGATGAGCAATAGAAAATTTAAACATACTATTAAAGAATTCCTACAACGTCATTGTTTTTACTCCCTGCGAGCATACATTGACACTGTCACTGGTATCGATGCACTATAAAACTGTATAGTACTGTCTAATTTTGTTTGTATTAGATGTGTGTTTTTATGTTATCTATTAATTTGATTTTATTGCACTTGAATATCACTTCTGACTTGCTACAATTGTACGTCCCTTTTGTACGAAACGTAGTCAATAAATGAATCTATCTATCGATCTATCTATCAAGGAAAGTGCTGTGGAGTTTGTTGTATATAAATGAAATATTTTCGATTCGTCAATCATTGTGTTGCCATCTTCAAGGCTACTCTGTACCTGCTTATAAATTGTTTGAGGGAGCGGAGTTAAAGGAGGAGCATGTACATCGACTCGTACAGATTAAGACCTGAATTGGAGTTAGGATTGTTTGGTTGCTTATAGAGTTCTATGGATGCTTGGATTTTTTGTTGGTAGAAGAATAGATTACACGTAAGAATTTTAGTTTCACCGAATAAAATTTGATGTCAGGTTATTTGTCGTAGTCTTAAGGCTCTTTCATATTCTTTAAGCCTAGTTGATATTTTTTGTCCGGTCTCTCCAATGTCATCTTTGCTGCATATGCATGGAATGCTGTAAACTCCTGGTGTCTCAAACGGCATTTTGTCTTTGAAGCAACAAAAATGTTGAGTGATTTTTGGACAAGTGGTTATATTTCTTAAGCACTTTTGATATGTGGTCAGTGATGTTTTGAATGTAAGGAAGGACAACAGCGGCAGGTGTGGGGTTGCTTTTGGACTCGTGGTCTTTGGAAGATTTTGATATTTTGTGATGGAACCTTCTCTCTGGATGGAATCTCAAATGTGGAAATTATTGGAGGGAAGAGAACATGAGGACAAATAACAAAAGTATCATTAACGTAGTGTTTCCATAATTTTAGTTTTAGATGCATGGTGTCGAGGGCTCTCCTCTCAAAGGCTCCCATACATATATTCGCGATTACTGGTGCTAATGGAGAACCTATAGCTGTTCTCGACGTTTGTTCAAAAATTTGAGCGTTATAAGAAAAATATGTTACAGACAAGCATTTTTCAAGTGAGATAGGAAGATTTGATTCCAGATTCACGGATTTTAATACATCTGAAATAATGTTGGGAGTTTCAGGAATAAGGGCTTTAGAAAAGAGGGATTCTACGTTGAAACTAACCAGAATATCGTGTTGATCTAATGTAATGATTTTTAATTGTTCAATGAAAGGAATTAAATATCAACTATCAGTTTTCCCCGTAAAAGGTTTTAATATAGAAGCTAGATATTTTGCTAGAGAATATGTTGGAGAGCCAATGGGGCTGACAATTAGTCGACAAGGAGTAATCCTGGTTTGTGAATCTTCAGTAGTCCATAGAGACCAAGAATTTTAGAGTCCTGAGGGGTAACACACTTTTTCCCGACTTCTGACTTAAGAGAAGCAGCCGCAATAACAGATTTAAGGTTAAGTTCCGTAGATGACGTAGGATCTTTTTTAAGTTGACGATAGGATCCGTCTCTAGGGTTACAGGACACTGATCCCAGAATTGCCCATTAACCCAGAAATACCTGACATCTGATCTTCTCTCTAATAAGTTCCACATTCATTTCATCACAAAATACACTTCACCACAACCTTCCAAATACAGTGAGTCCAAAAGCAAGCACACACGTGCCACTGTTCTCCTTTCTAACATTCAAACATATCAAAAGTCTTAAAAAATATAACGTCAAAAAAAGATTCACCACTTAAACAAAAATCTTTCAACATCGATCATAAATCGTATTCAGAGATTTTGGACCCTTTGTATTCTGTGATTGCAATTAAATTGTGAAAATACTAAAGTCAAAGTTAAAATATGTCCTTTGCTGTAAAGAATTATTAGAGACAAAAAAGTTCTTTGAAATATATTTTTTAGGTGTTGCCTAAACCTAAGATTGCTATCGATCACTAACCCCAAGTTTTTTTGTTTCATCAACAAAATCAATTTTAGTATTGCCTGCAGGGAATTCAACATTGTTTTTAAGAAAACCTTCTTTAATCTTGCTCCCAAAAATCATAACAAGTGTTTTCTCTGGATAAAGTTTCACATATGTTTTTTAGAAAGATCATTTAATATTTATAAGTCTTCATTAATAAATCTAATGGCCTCTAAGAAATCTTCTGTATCAAAAGAAAAATAAATATGAGTATCATCAGCGATTGCCTGTATTTTACATTATCGCAGTGACTTAAGAATATTCGACGTATAAACGAAAAAGAGTAAGCGTCCTAAGATGGAACCTTGTAGAACCACATATGATATATACCTATCAGATAATTTAGGAACATATAATAAGGTAAGCTGCATTATGAAAACCATAAAAGTGAATGATTTATAATATAAATGTTTTTTAATAATCTAACAGAATACCGATACTTATCTTCTTGTCTTATCTTCTTATCAAAAGCACGGAAAATGACGTGAGTCACATTCATAAGGGTAACAGATGTTCTAAATTTCTTTCGAAAACTGCAAAAATCTTTCAAATATTTCAGATAAAGTTGGTAATATACTGATAACGCGAAGATCGTTAAACAATGTAAGGTTTGAATTTTTAGGAAGTGGTTTTCCAATTTAAATTTTACATTGATTAGGAAAATAGTTGATCTCCAAGCAACCTTATCAAAAGTAAACCACAGTTTCTAAGTCTTATGTTCTACAATTAAATATAAACGAATAAAATCATACTGGCTCTGAATACTTTTAATGGAATTACACATCGATCGCTAGTCATAAGTTCCATTTAAAATCCAAGCAAAACATATATTGATGATCTTTTCTTTATCTGGATATACGGTCGCGAATCCCTTCAATCTTTTCTGCATTACCTAATCTCCGTATACTCAAACATCAATGTAATCGCATCTTGTTGCTTTCCCTTTCCTATTCTGTCTATAGAAACCCGACTGATACTGATTAATACCTAAATCAAAAATGTTCCGATTCTCTTAATCAGGAATTAACATCTCAGTTCTTCCCTCAAATAATTACCATTATCAAGATATCGTATGTTCGATCAAAAATACATTTCTCTTGAACCACTTACACAAAGTATAAAGTGATCCAACATTAGCCACTACAGTACTGTTCGTTCAAGATAGTATGTTCGAAATATCCCCGAACAAATATCAACAATTCTGAAAAACATAACAGCAAAATTAATTCCTATACTTATCTGAAAATCGAGACAGTCCGTGCTTCTTGTATACCACATCAGCAGTTTCTGGATATCAACAAGAGATAAGACACCATCCTTAAAACCTTTTTTTTTAGGAAATCTGCTGAACCGACACAATTCAGCTTGTGCAAAGATGTTGGTGCTCAATAATAGTGTCGGGTTGATGTCCTTTACGAGGATCACCGACCGACTAAAACCCTTTCCTCCGCAGGTCATCAGTTATCCGGAACCATCCATTAGAACATCTGCATCGAGTATCAGTCCGTCTTTCCTGTTTGTTGTCTTTCTTCTTTTTCTTTATTCGTTAAAATTCCCGTGATCATTTTATGGCAGATCGCGAAATTTTGTGCGTTTTCCACCATCAAGTCCCGATAGAACTACTGCCTCCGTCTTCTCTGGTACAATGCTCAGTTCGTTTTGGTTCATCCATCTATCGATCTTTCTCAGTGCCTCGTTAGTTTTGTCGATTAGATCGTTCTTAGTGTTGGCGCTCACGAGGACAGCCAGATCGTCAGCGTATCCGATGATTTCGACTCCTCGTTTTTGTTCCATTCTCAAGACACTGTCGTAAAATACGTTCCAGAGCAGATATCCCAAAACAGATCCCTGGGGAATTCCTGGCGTAACCGAAAAACTATCCTTCCCACAATTTTTCTCCCTACGAAGTAGTCCCTGATACAATTGATTGATTGATTGATTGAATGATTTTTCTTCCTCTTTTTGACTTCTTCAAAAATGAGTCTCCAAGAAGCAGTGTTAAAGGCATTTTTAAAATCAACTGTTATGAGAATGCACCAGCGCTATCCCTCAGTCTTAAGTTTTTTCGATCTAGCTATTTCTAGAACCCTTTTGACAGGGTGTAGTGTAAATCTGCCGGGTCTAAAACCAAATTGGTTTTCCGCTAATACTGCTTCTGTCTCCAATCTCAGTTTCAATAATTTTTGGCAGGTTGCCAGGCAGGCATAAGAGTCTATAGGCATCCGGCCGTTCGAAAAACCGCCCTGATTTGGGAATCAATACATACCATACATACTATATCATACCAACCAATACTTGCACTTTGTTCCATCCAAGAATATTTCGAGTCTATTGAAATCATCTTACCCACTTCCTTTGCCACCGGCAGGTGTTCAAGGTGCAGAGCAATCGGCCTGCAGTTTCAGGCAGCCCTCTGAAGAACCCAGCAGCATATTGACGAGACGTCAACGAGACACAGGCAATACTCGATCTAGGAGAAATCCAGCAGGAGTGTACCTACAAATTCCACATCTTGTGAAAGTTTTTTTTAAACATTAAGATATCCAATATTTATTGATTATAAAAGATATAATACTTCAGACGTTTTAGATCGCTGGGCTAGTATTACCAGTGTCAATGTGATTTTTTAAAATGGAATGCCCTGTTATTTATTTTATTGTACACCTTTTCTGTCAGACTTGCGTTGTGAAATGGAGGAATGTGATTTTAACAACATCGAACACAAATCTGTTTTGGCAAGTGTTGCACATATACAACAGGAACTTTTGTACTTTAAATAAAACTGTAAAGGAATATGGAAAGAAAAAATCGAGAGAAAGTTCGAATTAGTTTTACAGAATGCCATCGACTTCAAAAGAAAAATCGCAGAAAATTCTGTTGTTATAGAGAAAATTGATGGAAATTCTGGAGACTTGAAAAATTTACGACATCAAGTAGAGCAAATTACGAATAGCAAATACGCTAATTTAAAATAATCGAGTTAAGGAGTGACGGGGACTTTGATGTCTAGTTCTGTTAGCATCGACAAAGTGCTTGTATTGTAGGAGAACAGTGTGAAGTGATACTAGAAGCCCACATAAGTTACAACTCCACAATGGGAAGCATAATAATGCTGTTTACAATGAACATTTGGGAAGATCAGTCAACAAACAATAGTGGAATTTGGTAAAGGCCTGATCCAAATCGCACCAACAATTCCAGTGAGAATTAGTAACCTAAACCATTACTCCGCATGTCTAAGCAAATATATTCTGCTGGGACACTGTTTGCTTGTCTCTTCTTTGTTCGTTCGATTGAAGCATAGCTGATAACAAAGAAAACAATGTCAAACGAATTGGCCAAATTTCTGGGTGCCTGGTCTCAAAATCTGAGACCTGAGCAGAAGAAGAGGCTGAAAGAATTTCTTAGTGTACATAAAGACGGGGGTCGATAGCATTATTTATGAAGGTTGGTTCGGGGAGCAAGCTATTATGCAGTTAATTTAGTAACATGTTTTGGTGGGGAGTAATTCAATAGCAACTATAAAGCACAAGTGTTACGTTATTGTTTTGCAACCTACGTAACCTTACAAACGCAAGGACTTCTAATAATAATTGTATGCTCTGTGAACAGCCGTCTATAATCTACAAATAGACTAGACTTATGTTTCCGTGCAGGATACCAGCACCCTGGCTCTAAATATTTTTATTTTTATTTTAATATATTTTCTTATATTTCTGTAATAGATTTCTGAATTTTAGGATGCAGCTACTAGAAAAAGCAGGAGCATAAGTTAGAAACAGTTCAGATAATAAACTACTAGTAATATTAATACTATTATTAAATAATGTATCTAAAATGAAATTTGAATTGTGGGCAACCCATGTTCCACGTAACTCTTAAGTGTTGAGATCATTGTTCGTTTATAAAGTAGAAGGTGTTGGAATGTCTCATTTTGACTTACTTTCTGAGATAGAAAATAGTTGTTTCTGTCTATAATATGTGTCAATTCACTGACTCATTATTCGCAAACCCACGGCCACAATGTTCAAAATTTTCAATTTTCAAAAATTCAAATATATTCATAGGTTCGAATTCTGCTACAAATTTCACGGAACATAACAGCTTTTGAAATAGCGATTGCGCCGCGTTGCGCGATGGTGAGCTTTCTGAACACCACATTGAATGAACGTTTGTAATTCATATTGCCAACTTGTTGATAAATACCCCTTTCTACTGTGTGAATGCCATGGACAAGTCTGAGTTACGAATAGAGTTGTTCATTCTCTGTCGGAGATGTGTGAGGTTATCTTTGTTCTCTGTACTAGAGTCGATCAACCACTTGCAGTTGAAAGTTTTTGGTATCTGGAAATTTTGTCTTCTCTATAAACCTGTTTTAATTATTTTTATTACTATACAAAACAAATAATCTGTGATTCTGGACTTATTGTTTGTAACCTATTTGGCATTTGTTTGACTAATATTTTAAGATTTTGAGGTTATCCGTGTTTCTCTCCTTTCTTATATTTTTCCTTTAAAATGGCATCCCATGGCCGAATTGAAGATAAAATTCTTAAAGGCCTGGAGGATATTGGGTAAGCATTATTTAAACAGAGTCGCCTTCATTGTTCGATCGATTTTTGCAGTTATTCAGGACCATTGTTGAAGTCCGCCAATCTACAGTCCGGGCCAAAGGATGTATTATACACTACATTGGTGAGTTTTTTAACTAACGAGATACGGACATTGCTAGGCATTGATGAAGAAGTTAATGCCATTGCATCACCTGAAGATTCAGTATCTTTTGTAATGGAAATAACATCATTTCTGAAGGAGCTCAGTAAGAACCCCACTTTATTTTTTGGGATATTCTATATTCAACAATTTCAGATTGCCCTTATAAGGGCTTAATACAAGGGCACTTATCTGAAAGGTTACAGACCATATCTGACCGATTGCTGCTGGTTGATTATTTAATTACCGAACTTATGGCAGCGCGGATTTTGCAGGAGGGTAAGCCAGAAAAGATTGAAATAAAACTGGTAAGTTCGTTTTTTCTTAGAAATTTTGCTTTAATAGATGTAACAACTATGAAACTAAATGAGGTTAAGATTATTTTTTATTTATCTAGAATGCAGTAAAAGTTGACACCACTAATTGAGTACTTAATACCTTAAGAGACAAAATCCACTGACAGTCATGGATAAACAGTATAAAGGCCCTAAACAATATAATCTTCTATCACAATTCAATAGGGTTTATAATTATTCCAGAAAAAAATATTAATATAATAATGATGTTTATTGACAACAAGACATGAAAGCTAAAATTTATAGGGTAATTCATTCTAAGATAGTATGTTAGACTTTTATAGAAAAAAAGCCTCAGAATAATTTGAAACATTTGTTTGTTTACATAATTTATAAAAAATACTTTCAGCAATACCATAATATAATAACATCATAATCTTTTGATAGTTTAAATTGGTGGTTGTGAAAATTATTGCATTTTTCAGTTTTGGCAATGCTTTGTGATTATTTAGTTATCATTATTTATTAAAATTGTTTTTTTTATATACACTACAACACTCACAGGGTCTATATTGGGCTATTATTTTGCCTATGTGCTAACAATTGTATGTCCTGTCTTGACATGTAATTCTTATATTCCTTTCCACAGAGACAATAAAAACCAGATCTAAAGAAGTGCGGAGTCTGGCAAAATGTACTTTTTTCTCCCTATTATTCTTGCTTCCTTCCTTTTGTGTCTCTTCACCAGCACAATTGTTGTTCTAGTTATGGTCCTTTCAACGTGAGAATTCCAAGTAAGCTTTGGGTTAAATTTGACTCGCCTATTTGAACAACTGAACAATCATTATCTTAGTTCATTTCTGACAGAGTAGTATTAAATTTTTCTCTTACCTTGGCCCTGAGGACAGTTTTTGCAATAGGTTATTCGATTAGATTCATAGCAAAGAGCACTCTTTCTCACTGCTGGTAGTCTACCACAATTGAATAAACGCCCAGTACATCTGGCCAGTTATCATCTGTTAAGAAGGCGCTGAAGAACTTTGTATTATGGTTGTATGAGTCTTCCACCACATCCAGTTTTCGAATATAACAAATAGTCAAAAAATGTGTGCTCCATCTATTTTCTGTCAAAACACCAATCAAACACATTTTAATATTCCTGCTAGTCTCTTAATTGACAATATTTGTCTGTACATCTTGAAAGTCTTATTCACGTCGTATTAAAAAATAAATGTTGTTAATTTTTTACATTGATTCGTTGCGTAAATTGCAGCAAGAGACTCCCGAGGGGGCCGATATGAGATTGATTTTGCAAACGTTACGATTCCCGAAGCCACCAGCCAACATTAGTGTTCAACAACTGTTTGACAAATTAGATACAACGGTACCCATTGTGCTGAAAAAGGCGGGAGCCGATCTGATTGGCCAGGGCATTTTTAATGGTTTTTTGTCTGACAAGCAGTGGGAAATACTCAAGGGAGTGCAAGCCGATTTGAGTCACGAGTATAAATTGCGACGGGAGATGATGTTGACGCGATTGGATGTGACTATACAGTCATTTCAGGTAAATTTAGGTTTTAGTGCGTTCAGTTGACATTTTTACTACCATAAAGCCTACTGAATATACTAAACTATTTCGGAATCAAAGAGAAAAAGAAGCAATGCTTCTAAAGAATATCTGGATATCACATGTCATGCTTTGACTAGTGGGAAAACAAATAAATAGATTATGCTACCAGCTGAACTTTGCAGACTAAACTCAAAGTCTAATCGAATTATATGACATTTTCTAATATCACTACAACTACATTGATGAATTTTTGCACTTAACTTAATATTTTGTCAAGTAAATAGAAACCAAAAATGCTAACTATTTAATTGAGAAAAGCGGTATACTGGTTGTCTCACAAGTTGCATTGGAAATTGATTGCAATTTTTTCAAGTGTTTTAGGGTATGGGTATAGGAAAATTACATAGTAGTTTATAATTCTGCTGTTTTTTATTTTGTCATAAATTTATAATTATCAAATTTAATACCTCACAATAAGTGAATTTCGAGACAAACCTGACAAAGTTTTGGATATGTTGGATATTTAGAATGAACTATGAACACGCAAATTTGAATGAATTGTTAAGTCATCTTAAAAATATATTTAAATCTGTAACCCCAGATTATGTATATTTTAGTGGTCAGACCGAACAAAAGATAAGGACGAGCTATTTGAGAAAGTCTACCATGAAAAGCGCAGGCTGCTAAAGGTGGAACCCGACGTTGATATCTCAGATTTAATCGCCTCAAGGATGGATTTGGCGATTATCGAGAAAACCAGCAGCGCCTCGGTTAGAAAAAACACCAAAACGCCTTTAAACAAAGTAATTATCGGTCAGGTGCCGGACAGAGGTGGAAGAAGTTGGGAACAAGCGCCGCCACCGCCCGAGATGCCTTCTTGGCAGCAGAACCGGTCCAGTGGACCAATGACGGGAGGAAGGGGTGGTGGTGGTGTTAGTGGAGGTGGCAGGGGAGGGGCGGAAGGTGGAGACCAGAGTTTTTCTTCTCGCGGCAGAGGAGGTAAATCTCGCAAAAAAACATAATCATACATTTGTAGCTTTAAAAATGTTGAAATAAAAGTTTATTTGGATCTAGTTCTTTAAGGCATTCTTATCATTTAGGGATTCGGTATATTTAATTTCATCTTTGCCATTAAGTGATCATATCAATTGTGGTCATATTCAATTCAATTTTGTTTTGCCTAAGTATTTGGTCCTGCCACAAGCGCCATTTGTCAAGCTTCACGGGAAATAGTTATTGACCTATTTTGACTCCCAAGGATGTGTCTTGGGAACACTAAACAATTTTATTTTCACAACTAAGTTTAATGATTTTGGATAATAAGAATTGTAGATATATCTAGTGTACAGGGTTTTTGGTCATTATTTTATACACATCTCCTACAGGCTTTTAGTTACCGTCAGTCGCCTCCCCTCTAACTTTTGAATAATTTGGTATGTTGCCATGAAATTTGGGGTGGTGTTATATGAAACAATTTTCAATTTTTTTTAGTGAAAATGACATTTCAATAAGTCAAAATGACGGCTTGACATAGTTTCGATTTATTTTTTTAATGAAATATTGGGTCATGTGACACTTTATTTTGAAAGTCTTCGTAATTCAAACAACGATTTTAAACACATTCGATTAATTAATTTTCAAGTAGCTACTAACAATGTTTATTAGCAACCAAAGCTAATTGTTGCATAGGAGGTAAAAAGACTTACTGCCAGAAATTATGCTACCGACAAAACCAAGTGAAATCGCTCGCCATTTAAAAATGAATGAGTTGAATGTCTTTAAAATCAAGATTTGAATTAGGGAAAAAAAGACCTTGAAAATAAATTAACACTATTCACAATTTTCAGTAAAAAAAAATAAAAAAATAGAACCTTAAATAAGAACATTTTGTGGTTCTTGTGTTTGTGTCATAAATAGATTTTTGTCACGTAAAACCAACCTGTTCATGTTCTCTTCTGATTTGTTGCTGATGTTGATACAAAAAAAAATGATATTCTATTATGTAGCAAGAATTTAGGTATATATACTTGCTTAGTACAGAACATATAACAGCCACCCGGTATATATAATAATTCATTGAAACTTGTTACTATTTAAAAAATAACATTTTATTGGGTGGCGTATCCGCTCCGGAATTTAAGCGCCAGACTATGAAACCTTCATTTAAAAACAAACGGAATTTAGCAATTTTTTAGCTTGTAGATTCAATCGTTTACCAGTTAAAGACACCAGGATCAAACGCAATTATAAAAGGTATAACTACTTTTTTCTTAATCTAATAAAATGTAAGGTTATGATCAAAAGGTATAACTACTTTATTCTTAATCTAATAAAATGTAAGGTTATGATCACAGAATAGCAAGTAGTCATGCCACAATAGGTTTGTTTTCATATTAGTTTGAAACTTATTTGGGATTTTGGGCGTGTGCGCAATTACGAGTTTGAATCTGGTTTCAAACGACTAGTCTGTTCCCTCATAATTTCTTGCAGTTTGGCAACTGTCAGGGCAGTCTGAGCCTATGCGCGCTATACAACTTATCTGCGTTTTGATGTTATATATTATACATATTTTTTTGGAAAAGTAAAAAAAATTAAAGCACATTGTTCAAGAATATCAAAAACGGTCCCTCAGAACAACAATATAAATTTATGGGAATGTATTTACACAAAATTTAACGTGATGTAATTTATACTCACACCTTTATTTTAAGTTTAGCATAATGTGGCAGTGTATAATTCTTAACTCCTTAAATTTATGTCAAATCCCAAGTAACAATAAATTATTTAAAATTAAGTTAGCTGCATATCAAGCTCTGTCTGTGCAATCAGTTATAAATTTTAGGTCCATTGTTTTTACATCGACAACAATCAAATTGCGGATTCCTTATTTGAAATGGAAACAAACCTAATGACAGTTCTTTTTTATTTTTCCCTCTTTTTTGTATTTTTGTGTAATAGAAAAAATGAATAAAAAGGGCGACAAAAATACGTCAGGATTTTAAGGGGATAGAAGCACGCCCCTACTACCATGCTCAGGGCGTACAGTTTTATTTCGCCCGATTATTTACGACAAGAAACGAATTTTGTAATATTATGTGCTAGTGTTAGTATGACGTGAAATTTCTGGCAATTTCACTAAAATGCACCCAGTGTCAAAAAGTCCCGGTCATTTTGCAGTTCTGTTTTGTAAAAATGTGTATAAACCAAGGGATTAGGATATTTAATCTTAGACAATTATTTTATATAGAAAATATAATTTTTTATTGCGGCAACTAAGTTTTCGTCCGTCCGTCTGTGGCGACTGTGATTATGCCAATAAGACTTCACACACACGGACTTATATAGGATGTTATTTAATAAGCGTCCGATATTTTACAAGGTGATTTCTCCGTTATGTTTAAGGTAAAATGTTATTATAAATTTGTGGCTTAAAATGCTTCGTTTTCGAGATATGGGGTGTCAAACTTTGATTTTTATTTTTTCCGCATAATTCTCGAAGTTATTGCGATGTCTGAACGGAAATTGGTACTTTGGGGTTCTTAAACATAAGAAATTTTAATTTGTTCTCACAAAAATTTTTTCCTGAGTTCACTAGTAGGTAATCAGTATTAGTGAACTATTTTTTTTTATAGTAAATTTTACCAATGCCCAAAATTAGGTATTGTTTTGTTGCCTTCTTGTTTTTTCATTATTAGAATTGTTTCCCTTTTTTAAAAACCTATTAAATTCATCACAAAATATGTTGAGAACGGTTGCTTCTAGTGACTTCTAACCAGATGAATGATGATGAAATATGGCAGACCTTTTTCTACCAAAAATGATGCAACGTCGTACAAAAAGCTATGAACCTTTGAAAGTGAGAAAACACATGTAGATAGTGCCACCTACAAGTATCAGCAAAATTATTATTTATTATTTAGGAAATCATGTAGAAAAAGCAAATATAAACATATTATTTTCACATCATATATCTCGAACACGACAGAAATTTTAAACCACGCGCTTATAGCATTTTTTTTTTCCCTTAAAATTTTTCGAGAAATTGTCCTGTAAAATATTGGTTATTTATTATAATATTATAGTAATCTTTATTTTCGAAATCGACAAATACAATGTTTACATTAGGAATTGTTAAAGGAAATAACGCCAAAATTCTTTATTCGTTTCTAGCTGGTGGAATTGACCGGTCAATTTTTTTTGCGTCAATTGACCGAAATTATTTTAAAAATACAATGAAATTCATATTTATTTATAGTATGCATTACGTCGCCGTCGCGTTGTTCTGAAAAATGAATGGAGTCGATATTTTTATTGGGGTTCCCCGAATCGCTAAGTATCGAAATTCCAGTATTCCTTTATTCCTTGAAGAGGGTTGCAGGTAACTTGGGCATCACAAACGCATAATAATAAGTAATGATGGATAACATTCTACAATTGCAAGATGTTTGATGTTGTTGATGTTGAGAAAATTTGCGGTATACCCATAGACTTTATGTTTATACTTTTAGGTGGTTATCAAGGAAGGGGTGGTTATCAAAACAAATCATTCGATAATAACGGTGGTTATCAAAACAAATCATTCGATAATGACGTAGGTTACTCAAATCGACGGGGTGAGTCAAATTAAAATGATCGCGGCGGCTATCGAATGTTTGATTTTTCCTTAGGTGGCAACAACAGAGGTTACGACAATAGATCCTTCGACAATCGAAGCGGTTACAGCGGAGGAAGCGGCGGTGGTTATGATTACCGTAGCCGCGATAGTTATAATAATTTCAACCGGCGAGATAGCGGGGGCAGCCAGGGTCAAGAGTACCAACAAAATAAACGTCCCAAAACGTACGACTCTTTTCAGGTTAGTTATCGTAGATCGTAGGTTTTTGTCCTTTATCGGGTATTATTCGTCTCCAGGCGAACAAACAAACTTACACCGATCAATATGTGCAAGACAACCAACACAATCAGCAGTACCACAGAGGCGGTGGAATGGGCAGGGGCGGGTTTCAAAGGGGCCGGTCCAGTTACCAGAGAGGCGGAGGTTACAGATGAGCGGAATGGATCCTTTGTATGTTCAGATCTGACTTTAATCCTCCTCCTATATTTATATTTTGTATTGCGTTTATCAGTAGCCTATTGGTACACTTGATTTTGATTTTATAATTATAAATTTTTTTAATACTTCTGTACAAATCGCTTTTTCCTGTCTATTGCAACTGGAATAAATTATTGTCAGTCGTGATTTTTCATCTGTGTTTTTATAAGTCAATATTTATAGTGAATTTATTGTATAGGTAGAAATAAAGATACACAAAGGATTCTTATAAATTTTGTACAAACAAAACTGAAAAAGATAATTGAATAAAACATTAGTAAATATTTTATACAAGATACTCCATTCGCAAAAGAACAATAGTTTTGGGTTTCTAACTAGGTGAATGATATATATATTTTCTTTACACAATTTCGTATTTATCTGGAAACAGAACGGACTCCACGGAATGCTTAACCGGGGAATCGTCATCTACCATCAGCACGTCGATAATCTAAATGGAAAGGTTGAAAAAATTAACCCTTTGAATGGCGAATGCGAGATGGGCGCTTACTTTAATACTAGCGTAGGACGTTTTCGAGGTGAATGTGACCGTCAGCGGGAAAAAGTCCGTCGGTATCGCCCTCGGGGCGTTGAATTCCAACGATCCCGTCTTATTTCCGGAATCAATTAGGGGTAAACTCCAGACGAGCTGATTGCGCTTTACCTCGTGCGTGTATGTGCCGTCGCATTCACCTACCACCGGAGAACAACCGATTCTGTAAAGCAAAAAAAAATCTGCATCAAGTACAGGGTTATTGTTTATATTTGCGCTTATCCACCTACAGGGGTTAACAGGAATCATCGAGAAAAACTTTCAATACAAAAGTTGTATAATTTGTGCTGTATTATCTTTTAGATTTGAAACAAATGCGCATCGCAAAGTTGAAAAATAGCAGCAAGTTTTTTTATTTTTAAATAGAACACTATATATTTTCTGTTTGACAAAAGATCTTTGTTTTCCTGATTTCAAAAATATATAGATGGGAACACGAAAGGCTCAAGTTTTGTGTATTCGAAAAAATGGTTAATATATATTTTTTTGGGGACAAGCTACAACGTATATTTTGAATTAGATACTAAAGGCTATAACAATTATTTGTTTGTATCAATTTTCGTTAACTGATAACTCTGAATAAGTAAATATGTATAATCATTAAAATACTTTTCATTTCTTTAATATGGTTCTATTTTTCATTCTATTTATTTGCAAAAGTAGACGTTAACAAATAACAATAAATAATACTTGGAAGTGATTTCAGCCAAATCCTACCAAGACGGTATAGTCGCGCGTCTGGTAAGCAACATCTGCTTTTAAACTTCAAGTCACTAATTAAATTGTAAGTAACTTTGAAGAAAATTCTAATAGGTACCGATAGAAACCTTTGCCTATACGTAACTAATTAAATTATGAAACTACTTATATGCATTTTTTTTTAAATAATATTTAAATTAATAGAAAAGTTAAATTAATTCTCTTATTTTGTTAATGTTCGTTGCTGCAATAATTTTTATTTTGAAAATCCTAACTATAAGTCGCTTTTGGACCGCCGATAAATAATTTCATCATTTTTGAAATAGATTTTTTTTGTTTAAGGTTTAACAGCTATGTTTAAATTTTGAACTGACTGATGTTAATAAAGTTGGTCAGGCGTTCCGCAAATTGAAACCCTTAGTTAGGAAAATGGATGTGTGAGTTTAAAAGTGGTATATCTGTCTGTCGAATGATCATATCTGTCATTTAGGTATTCAGTAACTGGTCGGGTATTATGTTGCTAAACCAGGTTAATGTGTTGGCGAACTGGCAGGCCTTAAAAATAATTTTCATTTTATTTTGAATTAAATCTAAAAATGTATTAACCGTCAGATATCCATCAAGAAAAATTTTCATTGGCTAAATTTTATGTGGATTTTCAATAATGATAATAATGCCTGTTTTTCCGATTAAAAGTTGCTTCATCAGTAAAAACAATTTTTCCCAAAAAATCGGGATCTTCTGTTATATGCCTCGACATTTCTTGCCAATATTGTAATCGTTGAATTTTATTCCCTTCAGATAAGCCTTGAACTAGAATAAATTTGTAGGGGTAATATTTATAATATTATAAAGTGAACTGAACTTGTCATATGACAGTCTCAATTTTGGGGCAACAATTGAGATTGAAGTTTCGGGATTTTCTAAAAAGTTGTATGAAATTAATTTTTTTTTATTTATTATTCATACAAGTAAAGCTGCCTTCATGTTGTCATCTTCATTTCTAACAACGGTTCTCCCTTTTCGAATGAGACTTTGTTTCATTAAATTGTCGGATAATGCGTTTGTCGCCCAGGATTAATCTGACGATATTGCCGTTGAACTGCGGCTATTCTATTATTATTGAAATAAAAAAGACGAACTACTTAAAGCTTAAAATTATTAATTAATTAAATTTAAACTTAAATAATTCAAGAACGGCTTATCCAAATATCAACAATCTATTTATTTTTGAAATCGTTATAACAGAAAATATATAGGGTGTGACTTTTACAAATAAATAACTTGCTACTATTTCTCAACTTTTCGAAGCGCATTAGTTTCTAAAAGGTAATACTGCAAAAAATATACAACTTTTGTATTAAACATTTTTCTCGGTGACTTCCGTTAACCCCTGTAGGTGGGTAAGCCAATATAAAAAATAGCATGGACATCATTGTAAAAAATTAATGCTAACAAAGAACAACTCAAATATCATATCTCTAATCCAGCTCATAAATCTAAATGTTGCAAAACAAAAGACGTTAGAAGTACAAAATGTAAAGGGCTACACGATTCTGCTTCGTGTGATCCTGCATTTATAAAGAAAAATAAAAATGAAATCGAATGATCAACTTATATTAAACAATCTACCGATTATCGGAAAGCATAAAACTTCAGTTTGTACGCTTGGAAGTTCACAGCGCAGCACGACTAAGCTGTGCAATAAAGCGGAGGTAGTCATAAAGGGTCTCAATATTCAAGTAAGTTAATTATAATTGAAGTTCTCGAAATATGCTTCGAGTCGAGAAAACCCTCTTGCCTTAGAGTTATCGAAAATGTTGCAAGGCGAAATCAATTAACAAATATTCAAAAACATCTTTTAGATTTGACCCATATATCGTTGCTTATTGGTAGCGAATGGTTGGTGATTACAGGTTGAACGCGCCCCTTAACGAATAAATTGCAGGCTATTAAAACAGAAGTGGGATGGACAATCCATGGAGAAAGATAATGTAAAGATTTTTTTCGAAAAAACATTGTGACTAGTTTGCATTCGCAAATTATCGAGGGTGATATCGAAACGGACTCAAATGAAGAGGATATTTTAAATTTAAAAAGATTTTGGAACTTAGAAACCATTGGCATTAACTATTCGGAGGTAAAAGTAAACTTCTCAGGTGCATGTAGTATTAGATGCTTAGATAAATTTTCCAATTGGATTTTTTGCAAATAGGGCTGTGTGAGGAAGATCGAGATTGTAAGCGTTTTTTGTGGTTCAAGGATACTAGCACTAGCAATTTTAGAATATGCATTTGGAACCACTATTAGCTCATATTTAGCAGTTACACTAAGAAAACATTTATTAGATCGTGAAATTGGAAAATATGTTTTAGAACATTTTTACATAGCTGACTATGAACCCGGAGTCTAATTTGAAACATATTATCTATAGGGCTATTTAATAACGTCATTATAAAATGACCAAGCAGAGTCCGCTTGAATGCACTTGGCAAATATCAAAGTCGATTGGTATTTACCACTGAATCGATTTAACTTGCTATCTGCCAACATAAACTTTCCAACTCCTGACATTCTCCAAGTGAGAATAAAAATAAGAAAAAGTTTTATTTTTCCATCTGAAAATGGTCAAGGAATCAAAGCTGCCACAAAATGATTTAGAATTTTAAACATAAAAAATATAACTTTATATTATAACCAAAAAACAAAACGAAAAAGAACACAAAAAGATCTGGGGATATTTTACTCTTAGGTCCTATTGGTTGGTTCAAAAGACCGCGCATGCACATATTGGCTTTTCCAACATTTTTACACCGTTGCTTTAAAGGTTTTTTTATTATCAGCATAAGCAGCATTTATGTATCTAGTAGCTATATGCGTTTTTATGTAACTCTTAGAGCCACCGACATCACTATAAAAACATCCATATTTGTCCACCCTGTGCGTAACAAGTTTTGGAATATCAATGCAAAAATGCAAGTGGAAGAGCAACGAATAGGTAAAAATTTGAAATTAATGGCAAAAAGAATTTCAGCCAAATGAAGGAGAAGACCTCCTAGAATGGATTGAACCAAGAAAGGAGAATGTGTACCTCACCCAAAGAAAAATTACAAACAAAGCGCCAGGGTTTGACCTAATCATACGTCAAATCCTAAAACAACTACCAAATAAAGCATCAGTTAAACTGAATAAAACGATTCTCAAACCGGGGAAACCACCTCAACATATTTCGTCATATAGGCCCATCTCATTCCTACCTGTAGTATCGAAATTATGTCAAATATTACTACTCCAAAGGCTCCATATTACATATGTCATAAATGAATGTATATTAAACTTCTATTTTTCAAAATTTTGGAAGCATGCAAAGGTCACACCTTTTCCTAAAGTAAAGAACCTCACACTTTAAACAACTGGGTTCAATTAGCATCCTTCCTGCTCTTTCAAAAGTTTTAGAAAAAATAATTGATAGGCAAATAAAAAAATTCTTAGCTCTTTTTGATATATTACCTACAAAACAATCTGAGTTTAGAAAAAATTACACTTGTGAGAATGCTTTGATCAATATTACTGATGATTTACTGCAGGCATCGGATAAAGGCAGAATTTTCACCCTAATTTTGTTAGACTTTAGCAAGGCTATTGACAAGAGCAATCATAAATTGCTTTATTTTAATTTTACACTACATTTTTAAATTATTTTTTGTCCTTAGAGTTCAACAGGTTTTCTGCGACCATGCGTATTCCGAACCACTCTCCGCTGAGTTAGGTGTACTAGAAGGTAGCATATTGGGTCCCTTAATAATATAATAAATACAATCTATACGTTAAACTTTGTAAAGGATTTAAAATATTGTTATTATCACCTATATGCTGACGATACTCAAATTGACTTTTCTTTTCAGGAGCATGACGCAGTCAGAGACTAAAATTACCATTAATTTAATATACTTTTATAAAATTACATTTGATAATCTAGTGCAGCTAAATCCAACTAAGTCGTCAGTGTTGATTTTTGGAAATGACTCCCAGGTACATAATGTCAAAAATAAAATGATCATCAAAATTAACGACACTCCTATACCATACTCAGATACATCAAAAAGTTTAGGAATGATCTTGGACTCTATGCTGCACTTTAAGGATCACATTACAAACAAACTGAGAATAGCATATGGAAATTTTAAGTTAATATACAGTCATAGATATTTTCTTCCGATTGTTACCAAGAAACTACTTTGCGTCGTTGCGTCACGGTTCAGTCATTGCTGTGGTGTGTACGCAAATGGACGCTGCAGACCAATATTGTATCCAGAAAATACAAAATTCATGTTTGCGGCTTGTTTATGGAGTTCGCCGGCAGGATTATATTTCTCCACACTTGGCTCTTTAGGTTATACCGCACTACATTCTATTTTAAATTAATTATTATAGCTCTCTTGAATATGTTGTTAACAAAATCACTTTTTCTTTAGATTATATTGAGAATGCCACAATATCGAAAATAAGTGTTTAAAAGATCGTTTTCTTATAACATTGCACAAATAACATACATAAAAAACAAATAATTTAAGCCTTTTCGATTTAATAATATCAACCAAAACATTTAGAAAGCAGTATAAAAAATATCTTCTTGGAACTCTGTATCGGAAAACCACTCTGCTTTTTATCTTTATCAACTCTTTTCTTTTTGCGCTATGACTTCTCTCTTTGTTGAAAACTATATTTAATGCTTAATGTGTTATAAACTCTGCGTAACATATTTAATTTTGTTTATTTGATTTTTTTTCTTGTTCTTAGGGTAATTTTGTTTACATCAAATAAGGCTTGAACAGTGTCTGGCATTGCTGGATGTCTGCGTTTTATTAGTCCTTTTGTTTGCCTTAAAATTAGTACCATCTAATGTTTTTTAGTGTAATAATATGTATATTTGGCACAGCAATAAATATATTTATTATTATTACTATATTATTAAAATGCGATAGCTCTACGTTGGTGAAGTGAAGTGCAATTAAGATATAAGAAACTACGTTAGGCTAGCAAATACAACTTTAGCTTAGACTTTACAGTCATTATTTAAGTTAGTTTTGGTTAAAAAAAAATTATCTATAGAGCGATTTCTGATCAAATCACAATGTGAAAATATTTCGGTAAGAGGTATTTAATAAAAAAAAAATGGCAAAGGAATGAGAATTGTCCACAAGTGTTAAACCAGCATAGCACAGTTCTTCCGTCTTCCAAAGCTCTTTGAAAGACAATAAAAATCATTATTTACTTACGGCAAGGGAATATGAACGTTAACGTCTGCCAATTCCAAATTCGCGTGCGCGAGTTCATACTCGATATTGACGTCGCAGCTCCCGTCGCCCGCCTCCGATGGCCAGCAATTGATCAAAAGTGGTACGAACGATTCCTCGACGCTCTGTAGCCGCCATTTCAACACACCGACGTCAGTATGTAACGGGAACGGCTTCGAAGGATGCTTCAAACCGATCTGCGAGCGTAATTTGAAGAGTTCTTTGTCGACGTTCGGGTGGGTTTGCAGCTGAACGCCACGCGTATCGTTATTCTCCAATTGTATGCGTATGCGGCCCCACTTTTCGTCTCCGATGTGCAACGTCACCAATCCAAGAAGTTCGAATTGTTGCACGCCGCCGTCTCTGCCCATCCTGACTATAAGCTTTTCTTCCAGTCGCAAGTGTACGCTAAATGACGAAAGTAACTCACACATGCGCAATCAAGAGGCACACTTTGATACTTAAAATCATAAATCGTGAGTGCGTTCACAGATTTAATAAGGCCGTATATTCCAAAAGGATAGGCTGTTGGATCTCTTACTGTGAACTAGATGGTACCAGGGCCTTGCATTTTTATGTTACAGCATCATAGATCACAGATTTGCATGGCTCAAACCACAGCACATAAATATATTTGGCTAGTCACTCTAGTAAACCAATAACCAGATCCGGAATAAATAATTTTTCCAACAGAGAAAGGAATGAAATTAAAGTAGACTTTTGTACGAAATGGGGGTTTCCAGGAGTAATTGAAACAGTCAATGACACATTCATAGTTATTTTACAGCCTAATGTAGAAGAAAATTTTATAAATAAAAAAGGGTATCGCTCTATTAATACAAAAATAATTTGTGGGAGCAAATCTTAAATTAGAAATGTGATTGGAAAAGCATATCATCCCCTTAATACTCAAATAATTTGCGACAGCAAATTGAAAATTAGAAATGTGTTTGCTGAATTGTGTGGGTTTTTCTAGAGAAAATAAACTCCCACTTCTGCGCTAATTGACAAAATAACACCAACTGGAACTGGTAACAAAACTAACCAAAATTAACGTAACACCAGAGAATACTAAACCGCAAAATAACTATAACCGCAACCGCGAGTCAAGTATCGTAATGCCGCCCCAGATTTATAGTTACGTTTATTTAAAAATACTGGTGAAATAGTCCCAACTTGTTAAACTTAAGCTACTAGTTGGTGATCTTTTATTACATGTTAAATTACAGTAAATGTTTAAATAACATCTAAAAACATCCAATGAATTTGTGTGGATTTAACTCAAAGCTGAACCTGATCTATAAAATGGTGAAACGAAAGAAGCAGCAAACAAAATTGTCATAGCACTCTTAATTTTGGAGCTATAGAATGATATTGAGAAAGTCGCATTTTCAAAAAACCACTTATCAGATAGGTGGAAAAATAAGCCCATTAAAACTTTTTACTTGATGATGATTGGCCCGTTAGAACGCAGATGCATTAAACCATTCTTCCTCACTGATAGTTTAACATTAGTCCTAAACCAATTTCATATTTCAGGATCCCCTTAAATTTAAAATGTTAATGAGGCATACTGAAACTGACCAAAGACTAACAAAAAATAATCTATACAAGATTCCTTCGAGAAGTAAAGATTTTTGATCTCAAATTGAAGGTTTCCATGTTAATTTTCTACCTCAGAAATTACTTAACTCTTAAATTATGGTTCTTTAAGCCATTGTGAATTGAATGATGCAACTTACTCGTCAACATCCATTTTAATGGCTGGTGTCCGGGCGCCATGCTGGGCAATACTGGCAATCACTGGCGTTACCACCTTTTCCCCTTCTGATTTCAATTGATCAACGAAGGATTCGACGTCGCGACCTTTGCCGCCCAGTTTCATACCGCGTGGTTTTCTGTGGATTTATGTGATATTACCACTTCAGTTTTGGTTATTTAATAATAGTTAGTTGGTTTTAACTCTTGATCTCAGTGTTAGTTATCGTCCTCTAGAATCCCTTAAAATAACTAGCAATTTACAAACTATACTCACTGTACTGGAGAAGAGTACGAAGGCGGTTTTATGTCATTAGAAACACTAGACAAATCTACGGGGATGGCAGGAGTGTAATTATTCGACGAACTTCCAAAACCACCGGCGCTGTTGCCCAAAGATGGTTTGATCCCCCTTTTGGCAGCCTCCATTTTCTGACGCTGAAGTTCTTTCGCTTTCTCACGCATTTTGAGCTTTGCTTCCCTTTCTTGTGTCTGAAATAAACAATAATAACAATTTATAATATTTAAAGAGAAAAACAATTTAATGTTTCGGGCTTTTAGCATCTTAATTTAAATGAAGATAGGCCTGTGGGGATGTAAACACACAATCACTAACTAAACTAACTAAACTACAAGGTGCTATAACAAAGTTGGTCAATCTATTAAAAATTAAATTAAAAATTTTATTTACGCATATAGCATTTACATTATCATTATAATATAGTTTAACCTAAGAAAAATAGTAACACCAACACTTACAGTTCCTAAACTACCAAGTGTTGATTAAAAATAGTCATCTTTACTTTGCAATTAAAACTACTGAGCGAGTCAGAAAATAAATCAATATGCTCGTTATTTGTGAGTAAAATACATATTTGTCAGCTTGCACATTCGATGCCATAGTTGGTCCTATGAAAATCAATATTAAAAAGAGCCTTATTTCTTGCATTAATAGGAGAAACATGAAAACCAACAGATTCTAGAAGATCTGGTGAATCCATCAAGTTATTAAGGATTTTGTATAGTGTAGCGATGTCAAAAAATATGCGTCTACTCTCCAAAGATGTCAGATTCAAAAGCTTCATAATCTCCTCGTAATTTATATCCTCAAATGACATTCCCAATTTAAAACCTATCCCTCTAAGGAACTTACGCTGCACACGCTCTATTCTTTCCTTGTAAATTGCATAGTATGGTTGCCAGACACAGCTAGCATACTCTAAAATTAAACGCATAAGCGCACAATACAGCTCTCTATATGTAAAGATGTTCTCAAAACCCTTCAAAGTCCGAAAAACAAACAAACAAACCCAAATCAATGTGATATGTAAATGTGAGGTCTGAATCGAGCCAAACTCCAAGATCTTAAACTAGGTTCTGTCATTCGAGCGATCCAGAGTTCAAATGATAGGTGAATGTTACTGGATTTTTGGATCTGCTAAAGCTTACAATTTTGCACTTGTTGGTATTAAGAGTTAATACAAACAAGTGATGAACAGGCTATTTATAGTGAACTACGAGATTTCTTTTCCAATATTGATGCATATCACTCTCACGTAAATCCAATTTCTGTATGACTTTTAGGAAAAAATCACAATTTTTTCTGGGGAAAGTCTATGAAGTTGAACTTAATGTTTTTAGTTAAATTATTGTTTGTCTGATTTTTTTGTGGCTTGATTTTAAGCTTCTTTTACAAGACATTTTAAATATATTATTCTGTGTGGTAATTACCTATTGGAATCAACAGACACAAATTTATGCTTACAATATAAGTTACAATATTACTTTTCTTAATTTATGACATCAAATTTGACAACTTGTATAGTGAAAACAAACAGTTGAAATGGAAAATGACAAAGTCCCATTATTTTAGTTAAAAGAATATATATTTTTTAAAGAATTGATGGACGTTTCGTACTAGCCAGCAGGACACCCATAAGATATAAGCAAAAAGTTGCATAAATACCTTTTCCTCAAAGCTAAGAGCACATTGATAGGATATAAAAATATTGACTTTAACTTGAGCAGCATACTAAAAATAGGAAATTACCTGCTCCAGAATTAATTTATTTTTTAGTCTTGCCTCAAATAGGACAAGAACAATACATTCGCTAATGTGGCACTGATCTTACAAGTTTCTGTTGAAATGAAGGAAATAAGCAGTATTTTTCTTAAAGATAAAACAAATAATAATATATATTAATTTGTAGGCCACAACTTGTGGGATTTTGCAAAATAAAAACAGTAAACAGTAATGACAGGATGCTTACTTGTCTAACAGCTTGGTACACCTTCTCTTCATGGGAGTCCATCTCAACAAATGTTCGAATTTGGGCCAGGTTTACGCTTTCCCGATAGCCCAATGCAACAATTTCATCAAAGGCAAATATAAGATTGAAAGCATTATCAACTATTTCATTTTCTTCTAATGTTCGACAATATTCCGGAATCTGCAAAAGAAAGACGTTTACTTAAAACTGATTTTGCAAACCAAAATTTCATCTACTTACCACTCTAGCAAAAAGCCTGAGAGTCTCCAAATCTTCTAGTATGTTACTGGCTCGTGTAGTAATAAGAAGCATGTAGAGACGCTCGAGTGGTTGGTACACATATCGCACCGAATCAGTTTCAACAAAAGTATGCTGTGTTCCTGTAGGGATTAGTTTTGGGAAGGCGGCCAGTAATCCTTCGATGCGCGCTTTGGTCATTTCCACAAACTGACGGGACACAATTGCTAAAATTAATTTACTCTAGAGATAACCTAAAAGTTACAAAAAAAATACTCACTCTTGCCTGCCTTAGTGCAGACTGCTGCAGCTATAAGTACCTAATAAAATAAAAAAGGACAATAATTACATAGATGGAGTTCAAATTTTTTAAACATATTTCGGCAAGTAGCGCGACTCCTCTAGTGCTATATTTACCATTTTTGCTGAAAGTACAGGCAGGTGATAACTAATAGAGATTCTACTATATGATCAAAAACATTACAAATTTTTCCAAATTCACCACTAAAAAAGATGACGTTTACGTGTGGGATTTTATTCCACACCACAAATCAACACCAATGACGTGCCTACTAAAGGCACAGAACAAGAAGGAGAAAAGTTTTTGCAGTCAGGGAAGGTTACTAGGATCATACGCCTAATGACAGGCATCCGCCGAGGAAACCTTAATGCCGACAAATTATTATTGTCCACAATTTTTCGAGAACTAGTACTTATTCTATGTTTTAATTACTTTTGTTGCGCATGTGTTTTTATTGTTCGCGCCAGTAGTATAGTAGTAAAGAAACGGGGTTGGTAGGTGACCATTAGGACGGGTCAAGAATATGTGGGTCTATGACCGAAATTTTTTGACTTCCTAATGGAAGTGGAAATAGGCGAATGATCCTGGTAAGTCTGCTCAAAAGATTTTGTGAAATTTATTTTTGCGTTGCAAATTTATTCTATGTGGATTCTGTGGTGGAGCATTGCACGCGGCGGTTTAACCTCCGTTCGCTCCCGACAGAATCCCTTGTATTCGTCCTCAAAAGTTTGATATCGGTTTCCACTGTGTGGACTTAGTGTTTTTAGTGTTCAGTGCATGTTTTAAAGTGATAATCGTCGTCGGCCCCGTCGTCATTTTTTTGGTATCGGTCAGAATCGATTTTTGCTAGCTGAGCAAATTATTGGTTATTCTTCTTCTTTGTACGTGGTGGTCATTGACCAGAAGCGAAAATCCTCGACGGAAGTCGGCAATGGGCGAATGATCCTAGCAGTCTAGCCCAACATTTTTTTGTGAAACGCATAATTGAATTGAATTATTCTATGTGTGAGCGCCAAAATATTTATCTAGGTTGTGTTAAAAATTGAAAATTACTGGTCAGTGACGATAAATGAAAGAATAATATTTAATTTTATTGAGGGTTTTTAATCAATGAAGGTAAAACTGAAAAAAAGTGAGCTAAAGTATTATTTTATTTGTATATTTTAGAAAATGGAAATGGAGTTTCGTAGTAATTCTGATAATTCTGAAAACATTCAATGTAATGAGCAATTGTCACAGTTTGAGGAAACTAGAAAAAAAAATATAGAGGAGTTGCATGCTCTTTTAAAATCAATAAGAGATCCGGAGTTGGAACAAGAATTTGCCCTTTTAAACCAGGAAATAAAACCAGTTCGCCGAGAAAAAGTCAAAACCAAGTCGCGAAAACGGGAAACAGTATTCAAGTAAGTTACATCAATTTATATGCCATATATCGTAATTCCCTGCAGTTAGCTGCATTTTTGTTTGACATAGGTGGTCGGGAGTAGTTCGTGTAGATGAAATAAGAAAGTCCTCGAGGCTTCAAAATAAGGTTCCCCAATATAAAGAAGATTATTTAGAAAATATTGAAGAAACAGTTAGATCTACTTATTTTAAAAACCTGAATAGGGATATTAATTATGTATATGAGGATTATAAACCCAAAAACAAACCATCTATACATAGACGTGTTGAAAAACATGTGTTCATTCCTGTAGAAGATGTATCCCAGGTAGGGGTTTGCTGATGTTGCAGTGTTTGTTTGTCATATACTTTTTTGTAGGATATGCTTGACAATATTGCTTTGAGTGTGCAAAAAAAAGTTTATTCAGTAAATGGTACCACATGTCATCAATGCAGGCAGAAAACCCTAGACCAGAAAACTTGTTGTCGTAACCCTGAATGCACGGGAATGCAGGGCATGCTATGTGGAGTTTGCATTAAAAATAGGTAATGATCTACAATAACAGTAAAAATTTTACAATTTAACATTCTAGATATGGGGAAGATGCTGCTGTAGCCTTGAAAGATCCAAATTGGCATTGTTTTGTCTGCCGAAAGATTTGTAATTGCTCAATTTGTCGTAATAGGCAAGGTAAACGACCAACAGGAATATTAGTACCATTATGTAAGCAGCAGGGTTTCAACAGCGTGAAAGACTTTCTGATATCGTTGAGAGGTGAAGGAGATGATCCAAACAAGGATTTATCTTTTGCTTTAGAACGAGATGTCGAAGTGGGTAAATATAGAGAGCTAAATAAACTTCTATAGAAAGGTGTGTCTTTTTAGGCTTTATTAGGATTTTTGGATAATGGGAGAGTAGCCTGTCTCAATAATAAAAAGTGGGTTGTAATGGTTTGCAAATGCTGCTTAATAAAAGACAGTTTGGACCCAAACAACCTTGTAGGATTTTCTCAGAAGGGTTTGGCAGTCTATGGTAATGGCCATATTGAAGAATTAAGGAATTGTGTTTCTAATTGCTTACATATAACTTAGGTTTGTTTTTGGAAAATTTTTGGTTTTTGTTCCAATTATCAAGTACCGCATTTCTTTTTTTTGTGTGTTTTATTCTTTTTTGTACATATCAAAAATAATTTTGACTTTGAATTGTTCTATTCAAAATAACTTAATTGTTTTTAACTGTATGTAATAGCACATAATATAAGTAAATTTTGTTATTATTTATTTATCTCCCAACACAAACAAAAAATAATGTTGCTTCATTTAAAAAAAGAAAGTTATGCCACTGGTTCTTTACCTCATATATTTGTGTTTAAGTTAATCATCTGTATTTTGTATGTTAGCCTTGTGTAATTCTATTATGATATAAGGAAACACCCATTGTATTGGGGTTTGTAAAAAATCATTCTAATTTACAGTAGAATATGCAGAGTATAAGCAAAAAATAGACATTGTTCAGTGGTATAGGTGAAGTACTGTTGAATTTTTCAGAAACTTTCTAGGATATAAATTTATCATTACTTCGTTTTATTGTCTGATATCATAATGAAAGATCTTGAAAATTTTGTTGCTGCTGACGAATACTGACTATGGATAGCAAATTTTAAAGAATAATTCTGGATCCAAAACTCTATAGAATTGTTCTGTAAACGGGATACGGATCACAAATTACAACCTGATCAAAGAGATTTCTTGCCACTTTCAGATAATAGAATGATTTGTGCACTTGGCCATTGTTAAAAGGAAGGTGAATTTCTATTTTGACACCTGTCATTGCAAACTATCAACAAAGTTGTGTTGGCAAAACAATTTCTGGAAAACTAACAATAATTATTAAATGTAGAGGTGTTTGTGTTTATAATTTTACATAAACTTTTGCAATGTCTTCATGGTTGAATTTAAACGAAAGCTTGAACAGTTTAAAAGGCCAAATCAGTAATTTCGCCAGCAATGTTTTGGCGGACGATGAAGGTAAATACAACCCTATAATTTCTATGATATATTGTTCTAAGTGATTATTATTTTTTTCGCAAGATTTTTGAAACCTATTACCAGATTAAATTAAATTACTTTTAGCACCACAGATGTCTGACGTAAACTATGAAGAACTGAAAAGGATATGTATTCAGCAGGAACTTGAAGTAAGTACCAATTAGCTTAAAATTGATGTCGTTGTTTTTAGACAATAAATTCATTAAGGGCTATAGTATACCAGCAAAATGATAGGCGCATCAACATTGAACCCTTTTAATTTATGTATTAATACCATCATTTTGAATAACTACTTATTAGCTCCTGGAATATTTTTTTTCCAATTTAATGTGGATAATGTTATTTTTGGATTTCAGATAGAAAAATTGAAAAGCTTTACCAAGGCACTTCAATCTTCCAAATCCGTAAGTACTAGGTCATTTTGCCTTTTCATAATTGGCATTAATTTGTTATTGTAGCAATGGGATCTCGGGGACTATATCAGATATAATGTAATAGAGCAGAGTGATTAATTTTAGTGCTTATCAGTATGTAACTAAAATTTTTTTAAATTTCAAGTAGTTCTTCAGACATTTGACAACAACCGAAAATAAAAGATTTTTTTTTCTTGAAATATTTAGCAAGATGTAGCGAGAGCACATTTTTATTGCCATTTTTTTTCAGCTACAGAATGACATTGTCATTTGTCATGAGACATTTAGTCTATAGGCTATCAGCATGAACTTTATTTTGCGGATGAAATATGTAATAAATAAATTTATAATTAAAACTGTGGTTTTAAACTAAAGTAAAAACTAAACTTTTATAGAAACCCAGTTATGGTGATATTCATTTATTTAGAAGATATGAAATCATAATAAAAAAACTTATTTTAAGGTTAAAAATCCAATATTGTGCTTTAAGAGAAAGTGAAATTAATTAGGTAATTTTATGGTGGCAAAAAGATAGATGGATGTCAAATCTAAAAACATGATGTGCACAAGTGGCAATAAATATGGGCCTTTGGGTTTGGGGCATCTTGTCAAATGAGGTAAAAAGATGATCAGAAATCTTCAATTTTTTTTTCTACCTACTAATATATTCAATATTTAGCAATTTTATTTTTGTTATGTTTTACAATAGAAAATTTGTCAAAAATACCACAAATTTCTTTCCAGTTCTTCCACATTTCTAAAGTTTCACTTCAATGGTTTTTTGTTAGCAGAAAGGGGTCTTGATGAATTTGGTGAACTGTAATAACTCGACATATGCAAAAAATAATTAGTAGTAATGAATGCTTTTGAGAGGGGAGTTTAGTCCAGTGCCATTTTCTGGTCAAAAATATTTCATCACTAGAAGTTGACATATAGTACAATCATATCTAACAACAACGCAAGTTGTGCTGCGGCAGTGTTGTATACGAGGAGAGACGTCAACTTTTGCTATCCTCAAGGGCGGAATATTCTTGGATATCTCCTATTTTTAGCATATATATATGATCTGCCTGTAGTTAACTACAGTTGGACGTTACCACCGCCATTGTAGACAATATATCCATAACAGTGCAGCATAAACATCTTTTTGAAAGAGTGGGGAATGCTTGGAAGCTGAGCCAGCTGGTTTGGAATGGACTGGTTTTGAATAGTAGCGGGACCAGTCTTTACTTTGGGAAATATAAGGTTTCTGCTACTGATAAAATTTCTGGGGGTAGTCTCTTCCGTTGCATGCTTTGCATTGTGTCTTTCTATTATGTTCTATGCCATAACTGGCATAGAAGGGCCGGGTTCAGTGGAATGGAATCTTTGGTCTTTGAAGATCATTTTAAAATGTGGGAGACATGAAACATGTTTCATTAATTAATAATTGCATAGTAACTGTTTTTAGACCTAACTAAATGTTATAATTGATTCTAAAATAACCTATTAACTTATTTAATGTTTATTATTAGTATTAAATATAAAAAAATATTAAAAACGACTGTTAGTTGTAAAACAAAATGGTCCGACGCATTCGCCATACATTAGAGTTTAATTATTCAATTTTAATAGAAAATAAATTCTCTCTAAATTAAGTTTTTCTAAGCAAGCTTAGGTCCGAAACTCTCAACAACTGCACCCTTACTGTAAAATACCTATTTGTACACGCATGAAGCCTGCTGAAAGTGTCACTTTAAAACAGCATAATTACCCACGGTCACGGCCACTTCAAAAATATTTTCGGTACTTTAATCACGGTTTTGGGAAAGATAGGATGTTTTCGGTGAATTTTAGGCACGGATGGTATTTTCACGTAAATCAATTTTGTATGGTCACGTTGCACATTTGTTTATTAATCACTCGCTCCGCGGATGTTATATCAAATTCTTTTCTAAAATGGGGTTTATCAAACTTATATACTATTAAAATCTTGGACATCGTAAAATTATTTAACAAAAATAGCGAACATGAAAATTTAGTCATTAATGTCAACGAAGGGTATAAAAAGTTATTGGACAAGCCAATCAAAAAATACAAAACTTAAATAACCTGTCGAAATTACAGTATGCAACACATTTATAAGCTTCGTAAGACACTTGTTTATTAAATGCTCGTTCTGCTAGTGCCTAAAGAAACCCGTGAGTAAAGTGTAGTTTATAAAACTTGTTGCATAATATTCTATTAATAAATCTATAGTTGATGATAGATTTTTTTTCCCTAACGATAGAATTACTCAATCCTATGTTCGTCTCAACTTATACTTCGTATACATTGTTTGTAGATTTTTCACAATCTTAAGCATCTAGTAGTTTTTGCAAGTTAATAACAACACCCAATCGTATGTCTGGGGTTTGAATATTTGTCAATATATGAACCTGAAACGATTTTGTACAATTCCGGTTTGCAGCTTTAATTTTACCCCCATGGGTAAATGAATGCATTCTGTATGCAGTACTTATTTGACCTCAGCTGTATGTATGTATGTATTATTGATTTTCAATAATATCTCTCGAACTGTTCTTTTTATTTAAAAATTATAAATTTGGTTTTCTCGGCAATTATCTCCAGTAGTAGCCAGTCCAGCGGTCCTAGATCTTGAGGTACCTCAACTGCTACTTATAATGCTTTCGTCGTTTTTCTATCTAACAAACTAAACGTTTCCCCCTTTGCGGTACAACTTCAAACAGTCTCTATATTCTAATTTGCTATAATATCCATGTTTGTAAAGGGTAAGCCAATCTACGAATCGCAGAGTATTTTAAACAACAAAAAATAGACATGGGCATTAAAAACGGTTTAGTTCAGTTACATTACGGAAAAGATTACGGGGTGTTCTTATCTCTGCCGCTTATACAAATACCATCTGGTTGTTTGCTTTCGATAAGGATATTTACGGCCGTTAGGGTAGAGGCCCGTATTGAAATAATACGTGGCTTTTTATATACCGAATTTTAACGGACATAATGTGGAGATTGATTGTATTTGTTATCAAAATATCAACCTCTTTTAAACATCGATTATTTCGCTTTAAGAACCTTCGTTTTTTTATACCTGTTAAAATAAAATTACACTTGTTATATGATTTTTAAATTTGTGAGCGGTGTCTAGGGTTCTTCTTTATTTTTATTTAAGAGACTCATAACCAAATCTATTTAGTAATATTGCATACGAAAACTATTGTACAATTGTACCCAGGAGACCAAACTATTGATGCATACACTAACTTTGACTAACTATGAACTATGAGTTATATAATAATTTTATTACTTCTGTATTGTTAAAGTCTTTAGTGCAATGTACGATAAACATACCTTACTAACATGAGGAATGAATGATAATTTCGAGTCGAATATTACTCCCATGTTACAAAAAGTGTTAGAACGGGAGAGAGTTTTATCAAAAAGATGATAGTTATATTTAGCAGCTACCCCCATGGTGGTAAAAAGCTGCAAGTTTTTATGTGGAGACCAATTGTTGATCAGCTTAAAACTATGCTGGTCTATACACTTGAAAATCTTCATCGATGGTCTCAGAAATATACTAAGACAGTAATTAAATTGTTGATGGTGGAACTTTACAGAAATTGCCCTATAATTTGTGATTTGCGTTCTACAGTTGTGTACGAGTACAATTTTAGACATTTTCCAGAATGGAAATGGAATCGCTGACATAGATTAATAGTATATTATGCAAAAAGTGTGGTAAACGGCATTTGAGTCACGAAGTTATTCGGAACGAGCGGAGCGAGTGTTTAATGTGTTTAATAAACGAGTGATTTAAAAAGTTTACCATAGTATACTTTTTCTACGACCGTTAGTTTTTGATTACATTTTTGCAAATAAACTCAAATACATTCACTGACATGACCGTCAGAATTGACAAACGTCATAATTCAAGCCGTGCTGTAAAATCTCCGAAAACATCCGATTGCCTCTAAACCCATGCGGTAATATCCCGGAAATGTCCGAAGTTACTCGGGTCCGTGGGAAATGAAACTGACCTGGTAAATTGAAACTATCCGCACGCTAGATCGGCGAATAATTAGGTATTTTACAGAAGGGAGTAGAAAAACAGCAAATTTTACTAAATGTTTCCTCTACGACCATTAGTTTTTGGGTACATTTTTGTAAAACAACAGAAATACATTCGGTGGCATCACCGTCAGAATTGACAAACGTCAAAATTCAAGCCAAATTTGGAGAAATACTTTATGTTTATATTTCCAGAGTGGAATAAATTACTAATACCATTAAAATTGTTGAAAGAATCGACTCTAGAAAATGACTGTCTAAAACACAGTGCAAAAGAGTTGATTATATCTTGCCGAGTATCTATCATTAAAATTCATATTGCTGTGTATACCTGAGATTTTTTTTTTAACACACAACCTAAACTTCTTAGGATTTTAGCGATATAGTGAAGTCGAATTTTTTATTTGAGGAATGAGGAAATTGTAGTGATATATGATGATCATCTTACTGTACTAACACATAGATTGCAGGTTCTAAAAATAATAGAGTTGTTGATGTTATACGGGACTACTTGCATGATCTTATTGTTTCTCTTTCTGACTTAGTTAATCTGTGAGAGGTGCATACAGTGCATGAAGTTGCTTATCAATTTAATACATTGATTTTCTGTACCAGTGTCTAAGAAGTCGAAGTAAGCAGATATGTTGAAATCACTCGAAATACTAAATTTTTTACTTTTTTTTTTAGCATCGAAAGTCTCTAGATTGTAAGATTATGACGTCATCTGATCTATGATCGGGTCGATCAAATCATTATTCGTTAGTTTTTTTAAAAGAGCTCAAGTATTATTTCATTTACTATTGACACATCAATGTATGTATATGTGTGCCCATGTTGTGGGTAAACAAAAAGGTCATCACGATTACCTATGCACGATCCAATTTTTAGAAAAAAAAAAGTTGGCCGAACTGTTAGATT